AAGTCAAAGGAGCACTTAGTTCTACATTAGAGCCAAACAAAAAATACATAATCTCAATAAATTACATTTTAAATCAAACAATATGATAACATAAAAAAGTAAATTCATCGTATGCATCTAAGCACTACACAAAGCAAATATCCACTTACCTTATTTAGAAATTTCTGAGTTCTTCAGAAATTCCTTAATAGCTAGCAGCCAAAACTTCCTAAAATTATCTGAACTAGAATCCATATAACGGCATCACCACATAAATTCACAAAAATAAGAGTAAAAAATATCTTCTCTGTAGTGCCACTATCCTCAAATGTTCAACCATATGCATTTCTTTCCGACAAATATTACACTTATAATGGCTACTAAGTAAACCTTCATTAACACACCACTCAATTAACGTGCTTTTCCCTTTTCATCCCAAATCGTACAGAAACTTCCAAATTAATCTTACCACATTCAGCCATTCTACCATCTGAACCACAAGTATTGTACTTCCTAATCAACACACACCACAAACCCTTACAAATCTTTTTCATGTCATTCAAAATTTACTGCAATTGCACAGCCAATTATGTCATAATAGGGTTTTCATAACATTAAACTACTCAGGTTACCATAAATGAAACAAAAACTTGGCGATAAATGAAGCAACAACTTCGCAATAGTACAAGGGGCACCTTTCAATCTACTCTAACCCAAATATTTAAAGCAAGCTTGTAAACTCTCTGACAACTCTAGTAAAACCTATGGCTAACTCTTATTACTCTATAGAGAGGTAAAAAAAAAAGTGGCAAAGGAAAAGGCCCGATGAGTATGAAGAGAAAAATTATTTGTGCAGATTAATTCATCACCGAAGTGAGCGCTGATTCAGAAGAAAACTTGATGCTTTGAAGTTGGTATAAATCAGTGTTCTCGAATTAGCAGGCTGCATGCAGCCCACAAATTCACTTCAGTTACGTATTTATTGTTAATACCATACTTATAGATTTAGTATAAATTCATTGCACAGTGGACTGTAATATATTAAATAATTTTTAAATCTATTGTAATTTAATTTTAGAAGCATCAACAATTTTCAATAAGCATAAAATAAGCTATTAGTGCATGCTTTTAAGTAATAATGATATGTATGGATATGTAATTTCAAAACAATTAATTCTTCTGTGATACTTAAATATGAATGCGTAATTTTAGTGACATCAGTAAAATAAGTATTATATGCAGGTATAATATTATTAATTAACAATTTAACAATAAAGAAATGGTGGTAGAAGTTTTTTTTTTTTTTTTTTTTTTTTTTTTTTGAAAAACCTCTATCTGTTAATTAACCAAAAATAAAAATTGAAGAAAATGATAGCTTCTGGATAAAGTAGCAAAACATCTAAAATTAATTTTGGTGTTTAAGGAAAAAAATAATTCCATGAAAGATGAATAGGATTTAGATAGAAAACATGAATTTCACCAGAAATTCAAAAAATCAGATTCCATGAAGAAAGTTTAACTTTTTAAGAATTTATAAGAAAGCTTTTAAGTTTATTGAAGTACTTATATGAATTAACATAAAATCTCTTAGTCAGTAGCTGGATATCCACCTTGTAAAGAACCACATTATTAGGCCACCTAATACCCGTGATGATTCTTACAGCACTGAGCTTCACTCTCTCCAGTTTTTTTTTTTTTTTTTTTTTTTTTTTTTTTTTTCAAGTTAGGGGGAAATGCTGCTTGAAAAATTTTGAAACAATATTGAAGGACAGGATGGGCCAGTATAATACAGTACAAAGTCCGAGATCTGGACTCGTCGGGACTTCTGCGATTCCAGATTTTTTCCAGATATTAGATCATCAGTTTAAATCTAGTAAGATGGCATGTAGAAATAATAAATTTAAAGATATGAAATCATGATGTATTAAATAATGAAGCGTTTATGATCTAAAGGCTATTAAAATTTACAAAAGCTTTATATTTATTTATTTACCTTAAACATTTCTTTCAATATGAGTTGTTTAAGTTGCTTCATTTTTTGTGCTAATACTACTTTCTCTTTAATTCTGTAGACAGACATAATTTCTTGTTTAGTTACATAGAAGTCCTGTAATTGGTGTGTCAAGAATTCCAACTAATTTGTCAGTCGAAATTTTTACATTTTCAGTAACCTCTCTGTCACATTCTTCACTATCAGTAGTGGTATTTTCTGGATCTAGAACCATACAATAGATTTCGCCATCTGTTAATTGATTGATGATTGAGGAGCATTGTCATCATAATGAAAAAGTTCTTTTATATCATCTTCATTTATTACCTCTTCTCCACATTTCTTTACAAAATCCGTTAAATGGAAAATTTCACCTTTGGTTTTCGATATCCGAAAACCTTTAAAATTCGCGGCTGCCATCGTAAAATTCAGCTATCATTCACTTTACATATTTGGCAATGTATCTTGAGATTGGCAACTAAAGACAAGTTGTTCCGCTAAATTTTATATTGCTTCTATCGCACACTGAGACAGTTATGCCCGAATTGTGTTAGTTTAGTTATTTATTATACTTACGTCTATTTCTTGCACATGCTTAAGGCCTGAATAAATAAATTCCCACATATACTTAAGGATTATGGAGAGCCGGCGTTAGATATCTTACTGCCTGATGCAGTCTCTGCGGGTTCTGAATTCTGCTGCCAAGCGTCTTCCTTTGTCTTCCCTAAATTCTGCCTTACGAGCCCTGGGTCTGGGTTTATGTGAATAAAAAACTAGTTATTCTTAATTCAAAGAGCACTAAATGTAATCTTTTAGCCTAAGAGTATCATTAACAAAATCCATTCTTAGTACAATCAAAAGTCGTTAATTCGGACACCCATAATCCGGAATGATCTATAATCCGGACCTCAAAGCTACAAACTTTCTGCGCATGCGTCGCGTTCACGCATGCGCACAGGCATTTACTAGAGCGCGTAAGACCCTTACGGCTGTGAATATGTTTGTGCGCATGCGCGTTTAATGTGTAACGGAGTTATACGCTAAGCTAAAGTTATCTAATTCAGTTAATGTTGCAGATTGCGTTGTTCCTTAATTTTCGAAATGGATCCGGCTTATATTTTTTGCAGACTGTTAGAGCAATTTTATAAAAGTATGCTTGAACTTTCGATTATGTCAATAGAATTTCCGATATATATTTACTACAAAGCGAAAGTATGTTTTGAAATCCGAAATCTGTTTATCAATTTCACGCTGCTCTGCGGCAGAGGGGGGGGGGCAGAAACGTCATTATTAGATTATGATAGTTTAGAAAGATTATGTCAAATAGAATTTCAGGGCAGATGTTTTTATTTTATTTGGTTTATAATTCCGTACTAAGTGTAGTATTTCATTTCGATGTACTCCGTCTTTGATATGATTTAAATCAAGTTCCTCGTCATTATAATTCGCTTCCGATAGTGAAGAAAGTGACCCAAAGGTTATTCAAAACGAAAACATTTCGATTGACAAATTAGTCCGTATTCTCAACACAGCAATTATAGAACTTGAACAGCGGAACTTTGTAACTAAACAAGAAATTATGTCTGTTTAATAGAATTAAAGAGAAAGTATTATCACATGAAACGAAGCAACTTACATTGAAAGAAATGTTTAATAAAGTAAACAAATAAATATTAAGCTTTTTCTTTTTGTAAATTTTGATACCCTTTAGATCATAATTGTTCTTTATTTTATAAATTACGGTTTCATATTTTTAATTTGTAATTTCTGCATGCCATCTTACCAGATTTAAACTGATGATCTATAATCCGGAATCGCCAAAGTCCCGACGAGTCCGGATTAACGACTTTTGACTGTATATGGAAAGAAATTGTTCCTCGTCGGCATTTCTTAGCACATTTAACGTAAATCTGTAATCATCGCCAAGTATTATGTCAACATAAAAGGTTACCATATGCTTCATTATTCACGTTATTCAATTACTAACATTAAAAAAAAGTTTACACATCGCTAGTCAAACTCATTACTCAAATTGTCTTGTGTTGATAAACATGTGGTGATGAAAGCAAAATATAATAAATAATGATTGGCCAGCTTGGCATCAGAGATATAAAATATTAGTAAGTGTAAATTCAATGATGTATCTATGTAGAATGTTTCAGTTTCAGATGCAAGCCAAGCAGGCAATTTGGCAGCTACAGAGCCAAATTACTGATGACACAAATTTATGCAAAAATGATTGTTTTTTCATTGAGGTATTTTATTTAGTATCAAAGAATCGGGACTCTCCACATGTTTTATTATGCATGGAGAAGGATAAAATGCACACACGTAAAGCATACAAAAAAAATGTTCTTCGTGGTCTTGAGGTGCGGATTTTAGATCATTCCGCATATTGGACGTCCGGATCCCGGACTTTGTACTGTATAAGTAATTCTAAAAGTAGAGACATCTGAATCCCAATCTCTGCCTGAAACATATTTTAAGTTTCTAAGTCTCTTTTTTGCTTTATCGGCTAATTTCTCAATATGTTTGGCATGATTCACTTCAGGATCCAAAGTGAGATATGTAGGATATTTATAACAATCCAAGTGCTCTGGGAAATTTTAGTTACATATTGCTTTACATGTGATAATTTCTCTCACTATGTGAGATTTAAAATTTCTTTCTTTTTGTATTTTATACTGAATATAATAGATGTATGGAAATTCTGTTTTTTTATTATTATTATTAGCCTTTATGTATTTAATTAGCATTGTTTTTTGATAAAATTCTGAGAGATATAATTTATACATAATTTACCATCTTGTTTTGTCATCATGCTTTAAACTAACATTTATTGTTAGGATTTCTTGTGATATATTTCTATTTCTATTTTTGCTGTACAAATTATTATTTCTAAGAGAAGCATAACTTATCTGTGGTTGATGAGTTAAAATAGTGAAAAGACATAAATTATTATGTAAATTTTCTGTTTGTGAAAAGTGTTGATTCCAGCTTTTATAATATAAAGTGCCACTTTTTTCTGTAGAACAATTGGATGCATTAAAACACTTTCATAACAATGAAGTAACAGCTAAAGAAGTTAATGTGGCTCCTATCCATACTGCTCATGGATCAGGAGATATTATTGAACCACATTCTGTCATCGGAGTTGCTTTGGTTTTGGGTTTCATTTTTATGTTACTGATAGATCAAATAAGTTCATCGCATGGAAGAAAACAAGCACCTGGTAAGTTATATTTTAAAAACTTTTCAGTGTGTTTAATATAAAAGTTTGAATTTTTGTACATTTCAAAACTCATAAAATTAGATCTTTACTCAAATCCATTCTCCAACAACTAATAGTTATTTTAAAAAGGGGATCATGAATATGACTGGCAATATATTGATTTGTTAAACAATGAATTAGCAGGTCAGAGTATTTGAGTATTTTTACTTTTAAACAGACTTTAGATACAAATGAGGTATCATATCGTATATAAGAGAATTTAGACTCAGAGTGAGTATAGAATTTTGATTAATTACTTTTCGCTTTTGTGGCATTTTTTTATATAGGTGCTTCTAAATGATGTCAACAATGTATATTTGTTTTGTTTGTTTATGATAGGATCTTAAACATATCCATATAATATTCATGCATAAATGTATAATTGTTTAGAAATAAATATAAACTCTGAAGTGATAAAAGTATTTTTTATTACTTGGCTACATCATCAAATTTTTCTAGAGAGCTGTATAATAGAGAAATGGTGGCAGGATCGTTTTCAGAGCTAAGATTTTTCTCGTTATAATTGAAAAATTGTAATAATTATTCTGTTTGAAAGAGTTAGTGTTAATATTTTACGTGTGCTACATTTCTAGGTAGCAGTTTGTTTCGGAGGTTAATGTATTTTGTTATTGTCTATATATGAAACTTCAAAATTTGATCTGACAACTAAATTATTATGTATAAATATTTTGCTCGAATTCTTTTTATCTCATATATTGATAATTTTAGCACAGTGGGGTGATTAATAATAAATATCACCTATCGTTTCTTATTTTTCTTTTAAAGTAAAAGGAGAAAATGTACTTAAGTTCTTGAACTCAAAAAGAAGCAGTATCTATTAGGATAAAAGTGAGATTATGTAGTCAGTAGAATGAGAAGAAATTTTATGAAAAAATTATTCTTATATATTTCTAAAAGTATTATCATTTTTATTACACGCAAACACTGTTGAATATACCTTATAATGAAGCACACTATACTATAATGAACAAACTTTTTGGTTCTATCTAGTTGCTTATACATTTAATGAAATTTTTTACAACTGTAGTGAACAAAAATTAGATATGAAGAATTTAGTGATTATCTTTGACTAAAACTTTTCTTTTTTTCATATTTTTCATAATTTTTTCCAGAATTTCTGCAAGTTTCAGAGAAAAATTACTAATCCTTAAAATCATCCATGTGCAGGATTTTAAGATTTTGTTCATGTTAGAATAGCAGAAAACAGTTTTATACTACTCCCCTTTATAACATCAGCCTCACCTTTTTCTGTTTTTTTAAATAAAAGCTATTTAAAGGAGATGTAACATGTGGATGTTCTTGGAACATCAAGACCCACAACAAGCATATCTTAGGTTATCTTAGATATTGTATCCATATGGTGTTTGTTCACTACAATTGAGTCAAAGAATTTGAATGGGTTCTGTTGCGGAGTTCTGTTCAAGACTGATGCTGTAATGGAAATTTTGCAATTTAGGGAAGAACTAGTTAATACATTTTTGTGAGATTGGGGGCTATACAGGTGTTTGTCTGTTAGGGAATGAAAAAGTTTTATCCTTATTTTGTTTTGTTTCAGGATTTAAAATACTGCCAGTGTTCTGTTTTCTCAGTGGGAAGGTTTTACATTCTTTAGATCTTTTGCAAAATTTGTGATTCTGTCTTTCTTGAAGATTTAGAATGTTCTTCATTAGGGCTATTCCACTTTTGTTTTGCAACCATGCGTATCTTGGGGGGGGAATGAATGTGTTCTCATTAGACATATTATAGATTAAAGATGAAATTTATTTTCACATATTCTCTTAATTAACTTTTACATTTAGCTTTGTACTGGAAAATTTTTTGTAGTTAAACATTTATCCTATGACATTCTGTGTTGAGTATTTTCAAAAATACAGAACCAGATGTAGCCAAATCTGTATCTGCTGGGAATATAGTTTATACAAGTCTATAGTTGGTATCACATGGAAAAACTGAAACTTGATAATTTCTATTTGAAAAAAAAAAAAAAAAAAAAAAAAATGGGTGAAGAGGGAAAATTTAAAAAAGCCATGCAGAAACATGTTGAAGAAGTACTGCTGTTATAGTTCACCATTCAGAAAAGCTAAAACCATTAACTAGATAAATACTGCTTATAAGTGTATATTTTACGTGGAAATATGTAACTGAAGGGGCAGATCTAAACCATGATTTTAATTGTTAAGTTATGTATTGTGTAAACTTATGAATATATGGTGAAACTGAAAAACTACTGAAAAGAAATATACATGTTGCACATAGTACACTACAAAGTCTGTGATCTGGAGTCCATTATCCAGAATGATCTATAATCCAGACCTAAAAGCCACAAACTTTTTTTTTGGTATGCTTTACGCATGCGCGTTGAGAGTATGCAGCTCCAGATACATTAAAAAATGCTTGGCATAATTTATGGCCAGCTGCCACATTTCATTGTGAGAACGAAGATGATAGCCGCGAATTTGAAGGTTTTCGGACATCACAAACTAAATGTGAAATTGTCTAGTTATTGGATTTTCTAAAGAAATGTGGAGAAGCGGTAATAAATGAAGATAATATAACAGAAGTTTTTCATTGCGTTGACAATGCCCCAATCGTCAATCAGTTAACTGACGGCGAAATCTGTAGTATGGTTCTAGATCCAGAAAATACCACTTCTGATAGGTGGACCTTTGTAACTGAACAAGAAAAAAATGTCTGTTTTTAGAATTAAAGAGAAAATATTAGCACAAAAAATGAATCAAATTAAACAACTTATATTGAAAGAAATGCTTAATTAAGTAAACAAATAAAAGATTTTTTTTTCTAAATTTTGATAACCTTTATATCATAATTGCTCTTTGTTTCATATTTTTAAATGTATAATTTCTGCATGCCATCTTAAAAGATTTAAATTCATGATCTATAATCCGGAATCGCCGAAGTCCCGGTGAGTCCAGATTACGGACTTTGTACTGTAATAATTATACTTAAATGTCAATATGATGTTTTTTTAAATAAGATTATTATTTTTTTTTGGGGGGGGGAGATGTGACAGTGCTAATCAGTCTCGTTTGTGATTCCTTAATTTTTATGCTATTTTGTGTGATAATCCTTTTTTTTTTTTTTTTTTTTTTCCTGTATAAGATTGGATACAGCAAATCAAACATTTTGTCCTTTGAAGTTCATTCTTATAGGGTCCATTTGTAAAAACTGAAAGTTTAATATTGATATATGTTGAAATTGAATTTGATTAATCTTTAATTAATGTTAGCTTGAATCTGAATTAAAGCTTTAGTGAACGGTTCCTTTTTAAAGACACTTTTATTTTGAAGTGTGTAATCTGATATCTTAAAAATACTTTGCATGTTTTAGGTGTTAAACTAAAATGATGAAAACAATACTATTTATTTTAATGTTGCATTCTTGCAAACTATGGGTTCATGGGTATCTCTTTAAATTATCACTCCATGAGAAGGAAACAATTGAAACAATTGATGTTAATAACACATAGCAAAGTAAATAATTATATTTAAAAGTCTTTAATCCGGACTCGTTGGGACTTTGAAGATTCCGGATTATCGGATTTTCCGGATTATAGATCATCAATTTAAATCTGGTAAGATGGCATGTAGAAATTATAAAATTAAAAATATGATACCGTAATTTATGAAATAAAGAGCAATTATGATATAAAGGCTATCAAAATTTACAAAAAAAAAGCTTAATATCTATTTGTTTACTTTATTAAACATTTCTTTCAATGCACGCATGTGTAAAGCATGCATTACGCGTAATCAAAATTAGAAAATTGCAACCAGAAAACTATTTGATGTGTACTCGTGATATTTATAATGATGATGAATTTGATTTAAATCATATCAAAGATGGAATACATAGAGATGAAATATTACATTTAGTAAGGAATTATAAGCCAAATAAAATAAAAACATCTGCCCTGAAGATAAGGATAGTGCTGACAGATCAACTTCCAGTTCATTGCGCGCTGCGTCGTCCCCCCCCCAGATCAGCGTGAAATTCATAAACAGATTTCGGAATAGTTAGAGAAACAAAGGATATGCCTTTATCCATTTTTTGCAGCAATTCCACTTTTTGTTTAACGGACATAAAACATGCTTTTGCTTTGTAGATCCTTTGGCAGCTCCAGAATCAGAAATTCTTTTTGACATAATCGAAATTTCAACCTTACTTTTATAAAATTGCTCTAACAGTCTGCAAAAAATAATAAGCCGGATCCAATTAGATTAAGGAACAACACAATCCGCAACATTAACTGAAATAGATAATTTTAGCTTAGCTTATACCGTCCATTATACATTAAATGCGCATACGTAAACGTATTATGCGCATGCGTAAGTGTATTATGCATATGCATAAACATATTATGTGCATGCGCAGTAAGTTTTTAGCTTTGAGGTCTGGATTATAGATCATTTTGGATTATGGAAGTCCGGATTAAAGATTTTTGACTGTATAAATAACTGAAGAATGCAGATAAAGTAAACCCTCTTTAACACATGAAATATATTACAGATATCTTACACAAAGTAAAACACTGAACTCAACTAACGCTTTGGACTGCTTTTTGAATTAACTCAGAATTTATTGATTGCTGGTTGTCAGAGCAGCATTTGTATAGTACTGTCTAGCATTCTGGAAGGAATTTCTCTTAGAGCTTCAAAAATATGCTTTTCCAAAAGTTGCCAAGTTGCCGAGAAATTCCCATGTATTGCCAAGGCTGATGAAAAGATTTTTTGCCCATATCAATAAGTTCTGCTCAAGATATTTCACAATTTAAATGTTTTTGTATTTAGAATCTCAAGATCTACAATTCTACATAAGAAATATACGCCTGCGTACAGATTACCTAGCCACAAATTTAATTAGACAAAAATAAACCTCAAAACCATTATATAAAGTGCAACAAATAAATTTTAAAAATACAA